GTCAGTATATTTCCTGAGAACTTCAACACTAATGTTATCCCATGCCTTCTGCAACTCAAGCCAAAGCCTTTCCTTTGAATATACAATAGCCTAAATCTGTCTGGTTTATTTTCCAACTCGCCCCAAATTTGCTCGATGGGGTTGAGGTCTGGACTTTAAGGGGGCCAGTCCATCATTTTCAATGTTCCAGCAGATTCCTTCTGTCGCAGGTAGTTCCAGCAATAGTTTGTTTTATGGGTATTGTAATGGCCAATTCAACCAAAACAACTGAAACTACCACTGCCACAACAACTGCCACCACTGTATGTATTACACATATTTATTATTATTATTATTATTTTAGTGTCATTTCCACCACAGTGTTATTTTCTACCATGTCTCAATTACGTATTGTGGAATTGATATCTTAAACATTTTTAAAACGATAAGACTGATTCCATTGTATTGCTAAGACTTAATTTTATAGCTATCATTTTATATATCTAAAATATTGTATTATATTCACTTAATTTAGTATAGTATATATTAATATAGTAAAATATTACGTAATTGCATAATTAAATTATGGTATTTCATTTATATGGTATTATATGGTATTATTATATGGTATGGTTTTATTATATGGTATTTTATTGATTTTTCTCTGTATTGTATGTGGGAAAAATTTAATATTACTATTATATGAAATATATAAAATGTATTTTAAATTATATATACATACATACATACATACATACATTGTGTGTGTGTGTGTGTGTGTGTGTGTGCGCGCGTGTGTGTGAGACTTATTTTTTCATGTTGTAAGAAACTGGGATAAAATGATGGGATCTGTACTTACAACACATTTGAATATAATATAATGTAATATAATTTTGAAGTTTGTTCAACATGCATAACATATGATTAAATATTATAAATAATTAAATATAACAAATATTATTAAGTATTAATGCTGTCGAACGCGATTAATCGCATCCAAAATAAAAGTTTTTGTTTACATTATACATGTATGTGTATTGTGTATATTTATTATGTTTATATAAATACATACACATACAGTATATATTTGGAAAATATTTACGTTTATACATTTATATATTCATATTCTTATATTTTATATTATATATAAATATATTTAATATACATAACAAATTTTCTTAAATATATGCATGAGTGTGTTTGCATTTGTATATACGTAATAAATATAAACAGTATACACACATATTATGTAAACAAAAACTTTTATTTTGGATGCGATTAATCGTGATTAATCGTTTGACGGCCCTATTAAGTATATTAATTTGCATAGTATAAATCTTGTTATATATATATATATAAGTAAATTTATATTTATGATTTTTATATTTGTATAAAAATGTAAAACTGGGATAAAATAAAGCAATCTTTACTTATAATATTTATTAATTTATTGAATATTTTTACATAAAGTAAAACTTTTTAAAACTTTTTTTTTTTTTGCACTGTGTATGAAATGTAAAAAAAGAGAAAAGTATTGTATAATGATTTTTTTTTCTTTCATTTTGTAAGATTGAAAGTCTGGTACATGAAATAATAACATATATGTGAACACATACACATACACCTGTGAACAGTAGTACTTGTTTACCAAAGAATGAAAAGATTTTAAAAGTTTTCTTTTTTATTATATTTAAATCTGTTCTCCCTTGCCACATAAAAGTGTCCAAAGTTGAAGAAACACCTAAACGTGTGTGTGTGTCCTCTCTGTCAGTCAGACGTCTCCTCATGACTCCAGAGGAGCAGAGAAATTGGCTTCACTCAGCAGAGCAAGAAACAGATAGCGCGAGTCGACTCCATCTAGAACTCATTTAGGGATTGAATCATCAGTTTCCATTTGGACCTTCTAAATGTTTGTGCAACCTGGCCTCGGACGTGGCACTATAATATTTATTAATTTATTGAATATTTTTACATAAAGTAAAACTTTTTAAAACTTTTTTTTTTTTGCACTGTGTATGAAATGTAAAAAAAGAGAAAAGTATTGTATAATGATTTTTTTTTCTTTCATTTTGTAAGATTGAATGTCTGGTACATGAAATAATAACATATATGTGAACACATACACATACACCTGTGAACAGTAGTACTTGTTTACCAAAGAATGAAAAGATTTTAAAAGTTTTCTTTTTTATTATATTTAAATCTGTTCTCCCTTGCCACATAAAAGTGTCCAAAGTTGAAGAAACACCTAAACGTGTGTGTGTGTCCTCTCTGTCAGTCAGACGTCTCCTCATGACTCCAGAGGAGCAGAGAAATTGGCTTCACTCAGCAGAGCAAGAAACAGATAGCGCGAGTCGACTCCATCTAGAACTCCATTTAGGGATTGAATCATCAGTTTCCATTTGGACCTTCTAAATGTTTGTGCAGCTATGGCCTCGGACGTGGCACTCGCCCCGAAGCTTAGTGTGTGATGGTTTTGGAAGCGGACCGGGGACAGACCTCGAGTTTGGATGAGCCGTCCGATGCCACAGGTGATAATCACGGCCGTGTTTGTGCGCTGTAATTATCAGCAGAAGGCCGCAGAGATAAATGCTGGGGAATGAGAGCGAGCGACCGGCGGTTATCCGAGCCCAGGTTGAGCATCGATGGAGATTTTAACAGTAGCGTGTCGGCTAAAGCCTGGCTTTGATGTTGCCCAAACCCGCCTGAGCCCTACTACATTTCCTTATAGGCCAGATATGATGGGATAACGCGTATGTGTGTGATCATATCTGTCTCAGTTTAGTCATGTGGGAAATTTAAGCACTTATTTAAAACAGTGGCAGCACAATAAAGGGAGTTCTCAGGTACATCTCAGACGGCTTTAGTTTCTGAAATTTCATTTGTAAAAGTCGATTGAAATCCGTCTCGTATCACATCCTTAAGACTTTTCTGCCTTTAAAGGGAACATATGATGAAAGACAGGATTTTGTGGCTCTGTGAAACTCAAAGCTCCTCCTCAGTTCACCCTCAGCATTGATGTGCGGTCGGTCACATTAGCGAAATTTTGCTAGCAAAAAACGTCTATTTCTATAACAATGCGTGAGGCACAACTCACACAGAAGTGACTATTAAACCAAGCAGATTTATTTTGGTCAGCGTGACGAATCTGAACGAACCTCTGTGGGGTAGTCATTCGTCCTCACACAAAATTTCCGATCGCGTGGATTCCTATTAAAACGACTGGATTTCGCCTGCAAAATTTCACCGAACAACAGTAAAGTTGATCTCACTTTTAGTGGAAACTACAGACAGAAGTTGCAGAAACTTCAGAAAATCCTCAAAGTATGAAGTCACAACTTGAAATGCATTTCAAGTTAAGCATAACGCACATCTGACCACATTTATTTATCGACGCCTATTCTTTATTAACCAGTGAGCGTGCAGTGTAGACAACTTTGTTGATTATAATGGGAACATTCATCTAATTTTATTGTATTGCAACCTGCCTTTCACTTCCAAGCAGACCAGAATAAAAAGCATGAACAATCTAATAACAAATTATGCTCTTGTGATTATGGATATGCACTGTTCATTTCACTCTCGAGCCTGTAATGCAGGGCTGAAGCTGGGGTTTGCAGGGCCCCAGTGCAGGTTGTACTTGTGGGCCCTGTTTGAAATCGTGTAAATAGTACAAATAAATACAGCGGGTAAAATAAATATTGAACACGTCACCATTTTTCCTAGTAAATATATTTCTAAAGGTGCTGTTGACTTGAAATTTTCACCAGATGTCGGTAACAACCCAAGTAATCCATACATACAAAGAAAACAAAACATATACGTTCAAAAATTAAGTTATGTGTAATAAAATGGAATGACACAGGGAAAAAGTATTGAACACATGAAGAAAGGGAGGTGCAAAAAGGCATGGAAAGCCAAGACACCAGCTGAAATCTATTAGTAATTAGAAAGCAATCCTGCCCCTTGTCAGTGGAAATTAATATTAGCTGCTTATTAGCTGGTTCAGTCCCAGCGCCTACCAGGATGATGAAGATGAAACAAGGGTGGACATTTCAGCAAGACAATGATCCCAAACACAGCCAAGGAAACTCTCGATTGGTTTCAGAGAAAGAAAGTAAAGCTGCTAGAATGGCCAGCCAATCACCTGACTTGAATCCAATAGAAAATAAGAACTAACGATCAGTTCATAGAAGAGGCCCACAGACCCTTCAAGATTTGAAGACTGCTTGTGTGGAAGAATGGGCCAAAATCACACCTGAGCAATGCATGCGACTAGTTTCTCCACACAGGAGGCTTCTTGAAGCTGTCATTACCAACAAAAGGCTTTTGTACGAAGTATTAAATTAATTTCAGTAGTTCAATACTTTTTCCCAGTGTCATTCCATTTTATTACACAGAACTTAATTTCTGAACTTATTTGTTTTCTTTTCTTTGTATGTATGGATTATTTGGGTTGTTACTGGCATCTGGTGAAAATTTCAAGTCAACAGCACCTTTAGAAATATATTTACTGGGAAAAATGGTACTTATAAAATAAAATACTTATTTTACCCGCTGTAAATAGAACAAAGATACAAATTAAACAATGTTTAAGTTTTTTCAAGTTTGTAGGTGTCCAGGTACAGAAACCGAATAATCAAATGTAAAATATCATTGCATAGTCTTCTCCGTATAAATTAATATAGATTAATTCTTGTTAAAACTGCAAAGTAATTCAGTAAAGAGCAGTGAGTGATTTTCTCTCATTTAATTTCTTGGATTAACATTAACAGCTAGTAAAATTCCAATAAAGCGCCAATGGGAGGGGAAAATTCTGCGGGTGATTTACTGACAATGCACACATTAAAGAACACAGACACAGTTAGATCATTTCCATAATGACCAGCGCAAATTAGCGCCTGCTTTAAGACATGCTTTTTTTGGGCGTTAAATAATGATGCAAATACCAGTAATTTGACGAGCGCAAACGTTAGTAAATCACGTTGTGTGATTCATTTTAATACTCTCCTCCCATAAATTTTGCGTCTGAAAGGGAAACTCCTACAAATGCATATTCAATAAGGTCAGGCGCAAAAATAACTGCCCACATCTTTTCAGCACTAATTCTTCACTGCGCGTCTTTAGTAAATCCTGACAGTACTATTTTAACGGCAAAAGACGGTTTGTGCTGGCGCACGCTGTTAGTAAATCTGGCCCAGTGCATCCAATTTAATGATACACTTCCGATTTCTTTCATCACTATTTATGTTCACTTAAAGGTGCAATAGGTGATTGTCTTCAGAAACATTTTTTGTTATGCTGGTTGAAAGTCTCTTCACATCCCGATAGCAATCATTAAGTTAAGTGGTCTAAATGTATTTGTCTGTATTTATATATTCTGTGGAAGGTGTAGGATCAAGAAATGTTCGTCTAATCAAAACGTTCGGTCCGAGCGTTTTAATATGCTTTCCTACCTGCTTGTCAACGTATGTATTAGCATACCTCTGTGCACCCAGTTCGCGCAGACAGGATACTCATCAGCGCGTTCCCGCACGCTGTGCAGACAGAGCGAGGATGGCAGGCAAACATCAACAACCCGATCTTCCTTCCTGGTATTGTAGTGCTTTTAAAGATTTCTCACCTGTGAATGACACATGATGTAGCCCAGCGGTTAATCCAGTCCTCGCGCCAGCTCGTTAGAAGTGAGCTACGTGCATGAACTGTGTTCCGATCGATATGATCCCTACACAGTGTTCATTGCTCCCTACTCCCTGAGCGGGGTAAATCCGTTGAAGTTTACTTCACTTCGGAACATGGGCTGGAATTGGGAACCTGATGTAGCCTATTGTAGTAATGTTGTCTCTGGTCTGTGAGTGTAAATGCGTTCAGGGGGCGTGGATTTGGACGGTGATTGCAGGAAGGGTGGGACGTTCGCTTTCAGTGCTATCAGGCTAAAGTTAGCATTTTCCAAGATCTCCTATTGTACCTTTAAGACATAACCAAACATTTTTTCGCTACAGGTATTTCGACATAATTTTGGATTTGTCGGTTCAAGAGCAAGAAGCGGCAAAACTCAATTTGTTGTTCAAGGGCTGTGAGACGTGGCTCTCTGCGTGCGCACTGAACACAGCTCGCGAGTGCCAAATTAAGTGTTTATATGTTTTTGATTGTTTGGTTTTTTTTTTTAGATTTATTTTTTGGCGTTTTATGCCTTTATTTGGATAGGACAGTAGCTAGACAGGAAGCGAAGTGGGAGAGAGAAAGAGAGAGGGGGGCGGGATCGGGAAAGGTCCACAAACCGGGACTTGAACTCGAGACACCCGAAGCGCAACAGCACTATATGTCGGTGTGCTGCCCACGAGGCCATCGACAGTGACTTGTGTTTGTGTGTTTAAACTGGCGATGTGTATTTGTTCGTTTAGATACAGGAGGATGCGAAGGAGAGCTCAGTTTGGCTGTCTGTCTGTGTACGCACCAATCACAGCACGCGAGTACTCAGTTCTTTCGCATCTTGTGCTTAAATGGGTTAAACTCTTTTGAATGTTTAATTTTGGCAAGTCTTAAAAACACGTGCAATTGATAAGCTTTCATGAAAAATCTTCAACTGTCCTGAGCGTCTTTTTAGGCTGGCCTCGGTCAGTCAGTTGAAATCGCCGCACTTGTTTTGTTAAATAATAACATTATTGTGTGATACTGAGATGGTATTTTATTTATCCTGCTAGAAAGTGGGAGTTTGAGAGTTGGAGTTAAAACCAGATCATGAAAGCAGCTGTCAGGCTGTCGATTTATTCTTGCCAAATCAGGAACCTCTGGTGTGAAATATAAGTCTTTTAAAAGCATTACTGAAAGAACGGCCTCTCTGAATGGAGGATGGCCCACGCTAGCCTGATTCCTGACCGCCCGCCGGCCGCTGTGATTGACGGCTCTCTGATCATCTCCCTGATTTCAGAACCTAATTATCCGACACGTCTGCGCGTCAGTCGCCGCTATCACCCACTAGATCAACAGAGAGATGGACAGAGAGAGGGAGGACAGTCGTTAAAGCATAACTAATGCGATATGAGTCCCACCAGCACCAAAGCAGGAGAGAAATATAATTAAGGATCAGATGTCAGTCTGTTTGGATGCGCGCTGGTTTCTTATAGCGCTGCAGAAGAGCTATTTTTAGCACAGATGACCACAGGATGACAAGAAGGGTCAGGCGTGACCGGTAGCCACTGTCCTTATGACACCTGCGCTGGACCCAACCAGGTGCGCGAGAGATAAACGCGTGCGAGAATTGCTGGCCTGTGCAAAAACACAGCGAGAATCACCTTAGCGCAAGAGGAAAGCGCGCAACACTGCAGTTCCCGTGCGTTATTTCTGACCTCTTTTGTTGGAGTTTGTGCTGCTCGGCCGGAGACTTTCAGAAGTGCTGAGGGGACAGAAAGGAGGCCGCGCAGCTGTGCCGGATGGTGGGTGAGTGGACTGGCGGGTGTCTCCGCTCGTTTACAGCGGTGACATTTGGTGGAGAGGGATGTGGAGAAAGCGCAGACGTGTGTATGTTGATCTTAAGGAAAGGTCAGGCCTGTCTCCACGGAGCTAATCAACTGCTGCTCTCGGCGTCCCGGCCGCTCGTGAGCATGACTCTTCATTTGCATGCATTTGTAAACGAGTGTGTGTGTGTGTGTGTGTGAGCTGCACATGAGCTTAAATGGTCAAAGAAAG